TGCAAAACCTCTTGGATAAGCACGCTATGCAACCCACTGGTCTTCACGCGCTTGGAGTCGGTCAGAAGCTGTTGGATCCAACTAGCAACGGTTTTGGAGTCGGTCATCAGCTGGATTCGCCGCGCACCCCACTGGACTGCGAGGTTGAGCCCCTCAGCAGCTGCATCCAGTTCAGACAAGTTGATGTGGCGCTTGTCGTCCATCTTTCTCAGCCAACTGCAATCCTCGATGATACAGCCATTGAACTCCAAGGCCGCGCCATACGCGATATCAGAAGCATCGCACCAGACTTTGCATGGTTCCTCTGCACTTCCGGGACCTTGCCACACACCGCTGACTGGGTCATCGCTGCTGAGGCGCTGGACTAAATCAATGCAAAACCTCTTGAGCTGGTCAGGCAACGGATCGTCATACTTCAAGCCGAGAAGGCTAGTTAGACGCTTCAACCAGCTACAGTGCACTCGAAGTCAGCTCGCAACTGGGTAGTGGCCCACCAATGCTCCACACCACTTGTACACTGCACGACGTGTCAACACGTCCGGCAACGCGGTTCGGGGCCCATCTCGCCTAGCCCACTTGACCTCACCGCTGTCATCCTTGCTCAACTGCAGGCCAAGAACGCGCGCGGTCGCCGGGTCTTCCGCCGGCTTGGTCGGGAGTCCATACTCTGCCAGCTGCTTGACGACGGCATCCGTCTGCTCCTTGGGTACATATAGATCGTCGATATAGTTGTCGACAGCCGGAAACTGGCGAGTTGAGTACCGAACAATCAAATCCATCAGCTTAGGTGCTACTGACAGACCAAAGCCCATTCTTGTTAGGACATACGTCTGACCTTTCCACTTCACCACCTGGTAGCGCCATAGGTCAGGGCACACACGGACTTGCAAATATGCCTTCCGTATATCAATCAGAGCATATGAATCGGGATCTCCTTCACCGCGCCACTGCCGCAGCTTCTCTTGGCACGCAGGTGCTTCAGCACCAGGGTTGGATACCAGCTCTTTGTTCAAAGCAGTGTAGTCCAAACACGGTCTCACAGGCGTCGTCAACTTGTGCTCTTGTTTGACTGCTAGCAGGGGAAGTACTGCAGCCGGTTCTCCGTGGACCGCTGGATCATGAGGTATGAGCCACCCCTTCTCAATCCATCCGTCTACTTCATCACAGAAGGTATTCTCTTGCGATTCCGACAGACCGCTCCGCGAATACTGAGCCACACCGGAGCCAATGAAACCCTCAGGCTCATTTTTGCTTGACCACTTCCACGATATCTCCCAGTGTCGCTCTTCAGCGTTCCAGCACACCGTGCCATCACTGGTGGTAAGCACGACATTGCCTGTGTCGGCGTCCTCTGTGACTTGCACATGCCGAGGGAGCTTAGTCGGTGTAGGTACGGCTCCGACAACGTCAGGTGCGCGTTTACCCGACTTCTCCTGGGCCGGGCCGATCACCACACCAGCTAGCCTTCCGTCATCATATTCCATATGCAGACCCCCACACATTGTCACGAAGTCTGAGCCGATCAGCACGTCAGCCGACACAACGTTCAGGTCAGGAAGCACAACAGCGGACATAGTTGACTCAGGAATTGACACAGGACCATCGTCACGCTTGAACTGCAGTTCCACCACGCCACGTGTAGTCAGCTGCTCTCCGTCCAAGGCAACAATTCCTTTGCCCAGACTCTCAGTAACAGGGACACCCAAACTGTCAACAAGTGCTTCGCTAATGAGCGTGCGACAGGAGCCAGTATCGATGATGGCTTGCACGCGCCTCCACACATCCCTGTCAGGTACAGCCACGTCTACAAACACACGAGGCAAACCAGGTCGCGTGGTAGTTACTGTAGCTAGGAGACATGGATCGGCGATCTCCACAGCCGCTCCGGCCACGCCTTTGCCTCTATTCTGGTCTCGGAGCCATTGCTTTTTGAGCTCACAGTCCTGTTGATAATGACCCGGTTGCTCACAGAAGAAACATGTAACATTTCGTGGCCCTGATGACTTCTGCTGGCCACCACCGCTGCCTCCACTGCTCTTCACAGCACTGTTTCCGCCACCACGTCCTTCCGGGCAATGTTTCCGTATATGCCCAGGTTCACCACACTTATGACAGACAATATGGGACTTCTTCCCACCGGAAGGGCCAGACACCACTGCACCAGCAATACCTGGCCTTGCTGACACAATCTTGCGCAGTGCTCTCAACTTCTCCACACAGTCGGACACACGTAAGTCTTTCCCAGCACTTGACAGGCGGATCTCCTTGGCAAAATCAAAAGGGAGACCAGCCAGCAACTGCCCAATAACGACAGAATCGTCATCACCTGTCAGCTTGTGACCTGATGCAGCCAGCAGCCGCTGCAAATCAGACACGTACGCGTCAGGACTTTCATCAGAAAGGAACCGGCGGGACGTAAATTTTTCGTACGCATCACTTCCTGTCACGCCGAACGACTTTTGCAGCAAAGCGGACACCTTATCCTCGTCCTTCTTATCCGCAGCCTCCATTCTACTAAACACGAGCAGCGCATCTCCTTCCAAAAACAGAGGAAGTCTCTGCATGCGCTTATCAGCCGTGTCCCAACCGTTCACCTCCAACAGCACAGAGTACTTCAACCAAAAGTCATCAAAGCTGTCACCTGCCTTCCAACCGAAGGACTTCGTCAAGCCGTCCAGCTTCAGGCCAGACATGGCTTCAGGTTCAGAAGCAACGCCAACTGCTTCACTGTCCGATACAGGCAAGGCCTCAACCTCTCCTTGTCTCGCTCTCTGTCTCGTACGACGACGACGAGGCATACACTAAAACTGACGTCTACGCACAAACAATTCCCGGGTTTCGGCACCACGCTGTTAGAAAATTACCCCCACAACCGGTCTCAGGCATACCACGGCCAAAACACCACACAGGTCTGGACAAGTAATTATACTAACTGGAAGGTTATTGTTTGTGCTAATACATACCACAGTACAACAAGAGAGAGAACTTTGTTCACAAAACCATCGCCATCGGAACACACCAGAACTACTGTAAAAAGAGCCAAGAGCAGCGTGTATCAGAAAGGAACTGGAGCATGCATGCGTACCACAGCAAGCGCAAACAGCTGCACAGCATACATGAAACATGACACTACTATTATAACAGCATACACGCATGCGTACAAGAAAGCCGCAACCACAGGATGAATCACGCACATGAATCACATGACAGGCAACAAGAGGTAAGAAGTAATGTCAACTACACAAGCCAGAGTCATACAAGAGAAAGTCATAGTTCGATTACACTCCCCATCGTCTTTCCTTTCAGAGTCACATGTGCAGCACTGCAACCTTGCATACAGCACAGTTTTTAATCCTTACAAGACAAGACTAAGAATCTTTACGTGACAGTTCCGCTTAAAATTCAATGGCAAACTCCCAACAAAAAATCATTCAAATAAGATTTGCTCATGACAAGCAAGTTGGCCCTGGGTTCGAGTCTTGGTGGGCCCGGCATTTTTCTCTCTTTCCAGGGAACTTACTTCCCCGACTGATCTTTTGACTTTGAAGTTCTCCCGATCCTTTCAAAATGAAAATTATAATCATTCACGGTCTGGAGGGCTTGATGGCATGATTCAGCCCTGTGAGCGAGGGCATGATTCAGCCAGCAAGCCCGACAGACCGTGTATGATTGGATTTCTTACTTGACCCATGCGCACGGATGGAACGGAGCCTACTCAAACATTGAAACAAGCCAAAGACTAGCACAGTTCGTCGAAAAGTCACTCTGCACTAGTCACAGCCAGAACACACGAAGTAACAAGAGTTAAGAAGCTTCGAAGACAAGCGACATTCCTTTTTTACATGCACTTCCACTTCTTTCTTCCAAAGCCGCGCCTTGTCACATTATTGGCTACATCGCGTTGCCACTTGACCAAGGGCATGTTTGTCAATCATACCTGAAGTGACGTCAGTGTTGCCAAGGGCAGCGGGCATGATGGCTGAATCATGCCCCGCGGCGGAAAAGGTGGTGATTAGACAATTCCTAGGATACGGTCACGTGTCATGTAAGAATACGATTTAATCTTGTTTTGCACCCGTACAACCTGTGACATGTATGTCACTTTTTACGGAATAGTAACATTAATAATGATGTAGTTACAAGGCTGTGCTGGGCTTACAACCAATTTTCTTGCATTATAATTGCCGACGTTGCTACCACTGTTTTTACTGATATTCCAAGTACAAGTTATTGACTAGCTGGTTTGGAGTTGACAGCGTTGTGAAGGATCGAGACTCCTCAATGCCTATTCTCACCTTCCTGGAGCAATACTGACTTACAATGCTATCTGGTGTTCACGAGGTGTTTGTCGTCCTGGAAATGGAGTGTTTTTTTATAAATGTGCGTATCTGGTGCTGGTCTGGATTGCAGAGGAGAGCTATATATATTTAAGTGGTAGTCTTCAAAAAAATCTTCTTCACTCTACTCGAGCTCAAGTAATGATTTTATAGACACGGTCCCTGATGGCATAGCTCACATCACGTGGTCCACAGCTACTGCAGCTATGTGGTCTATTCGTGCAGATGCAACAGGGTTCATTGTGCACACAGTCCAGGATTTGCTGATTGGCTGAAGATGTTCTTCGCTTTCCGCCAGAGATTGCTTTCATTTCGCTGCTTTTTGTTCACTAAAACCCCCTGGATATGTATGAAGGGCGATGAGAAAGTGTTCGACCTGGCCCAAAAGAAACCGTATATCACTGGTTTCCTGTTTCTAATTGTCACAATATCCACATTGCAAATGAATGTATTTCTCTCAGTAATGGCTCGAGTGTCATCAATCCACCTCAGTAGAAGGTTTTCATCTTCCCAGTCTAACACATGGTGAGACTTCTCAATCTAAAATGGCCAAAGGCATTGCAATTACAGCTTCACACTCTTGCCACAGGGTATGATGTGTCTTGGCAGCAGAAGTAGTGCTAGAAGCAAAGGGTAAGACAAACTAATCACTAATCAGCTTACTTGAACACGGTGGTTGATTCTATCAGTGACCAGGACGTGTCCATGCCTATCCTCGGCAATGAACCGCGGGTCCTTGAACTGACCATCTGACCGTCCCTTTGATCCGAACATGGTAATGAAGTTTCCATCAGTAGTGAAAACCTGCATGAAACGAAATGTATTTAAAACTCTACACTGTGATGACTATGTCCTTCAACAGTTCAATACTGTGTACAGGTCATCCCTCGTTTGTACATAATCTATGGCAAGTTGGGACATAAAAAAGTCTTATAACGAGACTTATCATATTATTACACATCCACGCACACACGCACACATACACACACACACACACAACACACACACACACACGCACACACACACACACATACACACAAGTAGGAAGCGACGAGCGGGTTCTGGGCCAGGGGGCGCCCGGGTCCCAAAAAATGGGGTATTATTGAAAAATGGGGTACTAATAGTACCCCATTTTTGCGGTGAAAATTATTTTTGGCCCGGTTTTTTTGCGGATAAAAATATGTGCCAGGGGGTGCCCCTACCTCAAAAAAAAGGGGGTATTATTGAAAATATGTATTGGGGTGTTATGCTCTACCCTAAACAATAAGGTAATATGGTGTCATGATTATGTAAGTATAAAAGGTGTGTTCTTGAATGATGATCCAGTCAGTTTCAAGTTGTTGTGGTGCAGTGAAAATGGATTCTGAATTTGAGATCCTGTATGCTTATGTTCGTTCAAAGAAGCAATGTGCGCTGGAGGAAAAGAAGAAGAAGAAGAAGAAGGAGATAGAGGAAAGTGAAGAAGTGTGTTATCATCGTGAAGAACAAGTTGAGCATGCTGGTCATAGAGTTTGTTCTCAGTGTGGATTGGTAATGGCTGACATTTACATGCCCGAGGTAAAGTGGAGAGAGCGTTGTACTAGCATAAAGACCTACACGGATTCCGATCGCATTCAAGGTGTGAATCGTCATCTTGTACATTTTCTCAACAAGATCGACTTCACTTTACCGCATGCACAGTTTCACCCTGTTCAAGAGGCACTGCAAGCAATGAAGAAGTCCAGCAGCTATAAAAGCATGAACTATGCAATAGCATTATCGTGTATACTTCATGAGGATCATGATGCAGTGCGCACACTGCGTTCTTCTTTACCGCGCAGTAATGTATCATGGTTGAGAAGCAGCCGCATTACACAACCTCTTCCATCATGTTTTCCACTGATGTTTCTTCTACATCTCATGGAACACATCAAGGGTCCTCTGTCCGCTAGACAGCTGAACACTCTGAAAGTTAATTTGTCCTTGATGTCACCTGCAGACCTGTCCATGATGCATCTTCTAATAGATGCCTATTGTTGGCATGACTACAGTCTGGAATATTTAGTAGATCACGTGACCTCTCTCCCACCTGATCTTGCCAACATACTCTATCAATTTACCAAGACTGCAGTACGTCATCAATGTTAGCAATGCGTTGGAGATTTACACTCTCGGGAACCTGTTCTGAGACATGGTCGAGACACGTTCAGTCATGACCGAGACATGTTCCGACAGGTCAAGTGCAAGTCGTGCTGTGATTGGTTAAATCTTATCATCTGCTCACCGTGTCCTCTGATTGGTTGATTCTTGAACAATTTCACCGTGTTCTCCAAGGTCGTCACCTCCCATAGGATGTTATTTCAAACTCGGCGGCGGTCAAAAGGGTATATATGTGCAAGCACAGTCCTCCATTCACTCACAACTGCCTTTGTTGTTTCGTTGCTCAAGCCTTCTCTCTCTCTCTCTCTCCCTCTGGATCTCACTGGATCTCTCGTGACTGATATCATGATGGCCACTGATGCTGTTGTTGCTGGTGAAGATGTTGTGGACTGTTTGGGTTGACCCGTTCGCTATCAAGACGATAAAGAAACCCGGTCTCTACAAGCGACGTGCTAGCCGTAATCCGAATCTGGAGCCTCTGCCTAAGATCAAGATGCCAACTCCTCGTCCTACCATACTACCAGGTGTCGCCACCATTATTACGGATGGGGCAGCAGAGTGTGTTCAAGCAATGTACAGCAAGACCGCCCACGACTATCATGTTGCTCCTGGCACCGATTTCTACTATACGCGCGGTGATTTACCGGGCATGCTTGTCAATGGCACGGTATGTGAAGGACGCTTTGGTCAACTTAAGCTGTACGTCCAGGCTTCACAAGACGATCTCATTCAATTCTTCCTGAAGACCTCAACACCTTTGAGACGTGCCGTGAGATCTCCACATATCAACAGGATACGGAGTAACATCTTCCCTGCAATGTACCAAGGGAAGAGTGTGACTGCTTTGTATCTCAAGCCAACCAAGGGTGTGCCCAACTTCCCGATGAACGAAGAGTGTCAGCTCTATCTGCATCCTTCCACTATATCTTTCAACAGGGAGAAGTGCGAATTCAAGGCATGGCTTTCGGCAATCCCCCTGATGTTTGTAGACTCACGGCTTTGTGAAAGGGATCACGACACCGTGCAAGACCTTCCCGAGGCTGAATTGACTCGACTGGTGATTGCATTCCTCAAGAAGTGGAGCACTGCTGACAACGTGACTGCTGACATTGCGTTTGACACAACGGTGGCGGCGGCAGCGTCTCTCCCTGACACCCTACCGGACAATTCACTGGACTTGAATCTGCTAAATGCTTAGTCTATCTTACCACATTGATTGATCAGAAAGACTTTATATCCTAACCCTTTTTTTTTTTTTTTTTTTTTTTTCATGCTCTCTCACTCTCTCTCTCTCTCTCTCTCTCTCTCTCTCTCTCTTGCTAACATATCATCGCTTCATTAGATTACCACTAGCACACATGAGTATCATAATGATTTATTTGAGAAAGAAAATATTTCCTATCATAATTAGAACAGTGTGTGTGTGTGTGTGTGTGTGTGTGTGTGTGTGAAGATGGCGTACTGGGCTACGCATTTCCATAGGAGTGATGGGGAGGAGACTTCCCTCAAGCACATGCAAAGCATGCGGAATGATATTACCGAAATACAATCAGTTGTGGGGAACGATGACACCGAAAACACCTTGGTTCATGATGTGGAGAAACTGAAAGAGGTGAAAGCCGATGAGAGCAAAGTGGAAGATGTGGAAAACAGATCTACGCGCTACACAGATCAAGCCATAGCAGCTGATGAGCTGCACGTGAAAACAGATGGATCCGTGTCCATGGATGCTAACCTCAACATGAACGAGCATTCCATCTGTAATTTGGCGTACGATGATAGTTCTTTGACCTGTGCTGTCCCTGCCGGTTGGGTCAAGAATGAAATCCAACAAGCATCATCGAGATTGCAAACTGGTATGGACACTGTGCGCAAGATGAAAGGACCTCGTGGTGATCGGGGATTGGGATGGCTTAGCGGAGGTGGCATGCCACTGAACTCTGTAGGGAGAAATGGTGACTTCTATCTCGATGCAACCACGCTCATCGTGTACAAGAAATTCAGCTCGAAATGGAAGGCGTTTGGTCGGCTTCATGGATCAAGAGGTGAAGCTGGTCCACGTGGAGAACGTGGATTGACCGGTCCTGAAGGTGAGACTGGACCTAGAGGAGCTGATGGGCAAGGCGGTGAACGCGGTCAAAAAGGTGATCAAGGAATACCTGGTCCAGAAGGTCCCAGAGGTGAAGTTGGACCACGTGGAGAACGTGGATTGGTCGGGCCTGAAGGTGAGATTGGACCTAGAGGAGAAGATGGACAAGACGGCCCACAAGGTGAACGTGGTGTGCAAGGTGATCAAGGAACCACAGGTCCCATGGGTCCCCAAGGAACCATCGGTCCAACCGGTCCTCCAGGAAACAGAGGTCCCGTGGGTCTCCAAGGAATCATCGGCCCCATAGGTCCTCAAGGAACCAGAGGCCCCATTGGTCCGCAATCAAATCAGAACCTATCCGATCCGTTTCATCTACTACCTCTCATTCGGAGAAACGCCTACCTCTACATATACTCTCATCCTAGCAGATTTGAATCCGTCACCAGGGTGAGCAGAAACAGATACAGAGGGATAAATCTCGTTGACATGAAGGACAAGAGAATCAACGTGAACAGCATCGACATGTTCCGAGACGATCACTTCTACCTCAACATTACACAACCCAGCCAAGTTTCCATTAGAGAACGATTCGTCAATCTGTTTCACGACAACATGTCTTTTGCAATGTTCCAAGTAATTCAAGTGGACGCACCTGACCCTAGAAACATGGCATTGAAGGCATTCGATATCGATACTGTCGGAAATTTCAGCTTGGATAGTTTGTACGTGTTGTTCACTGCCACCCACATAAGCGGCAACTACTTCACGCGTCCCGGCCATTCATCATTCAACATACCCGTTTCGTCTGTAGTCAGCCAATTATCGGCGGCTTTGGATAAACCTGTGTCGAGTATGACGAATCTCTTGGGTACAAAGTGTGTCATAAGTTACGCTCGGAATTCAGAAGGCCTATTCACTCTATACGTAAACTCCATTTTGATACATTCCAACTTAGACACTGTCCCATTTTCCAGGACCAATGGAATCGAAGATTGCAATTATAGCATTGGTGGTACTCAATTCTTCAACGGCACTTCATCAAAGTTGTTCTGTCATTTGCACTTTGCAGAGAGTTTATCTTCTCACACAGTCCAGCGCATCCACACAGAACTCATGGCACACTACGATATATGAAAGTGCTACTTTGATTGTACATAATATATAGCACACATGCTACACTACATTCTTGAGATGAAAATGAAAAATAAAACCTATCTATAGTGAGTGTCATCACAACACCAGAATGTCTGTGATATTGACAGTGGCGAACAACACGTCGGGCGTGAGCAGGGGATTGCACAAACCGAACTTTACTCTAAATGTGAAGGAGCTCGATACGCGTGATAAAGTCCTGCATGTTGAATCGGCTCAGTTTGAAGTACACTTTGAGAACATAGACGAGGCAACGAACAAACTCTATGTGGTACATGGTGTAGAAGAAGAAGAAGAAGAGGATAGACTTTCCATCAAGACGGGAACATACAGCGATGTAGACGATTTGGTGTCTATTATCAATGCCACTCTGAAACGAGCAGGACACGGAGACATTGTGTTTTCCTACTCTCGTCACACCAGC